CTGACCCTTATGACATTTATATATTCTTAGAGGCTTGTAGACATATGTCATTTACGTGAAAGATTGTACGGCCTTATCGGCTTATGTTTTTGAGTTTATAAATGATTATGTTGGCCTATTAGGCCCGTATGTCACGTGTATATGATGATGTAATAAGAAAGATATGTCACGTTGGTACTCGGTCGAGTAAGGTACCAGGTGCCCGTCACGGCCCATCGGTTTGGGTCGTGACAATTTTAGATAGAGGTATTCAATTCACATTACGGTTCTGGAGGGCCATTCAGCATGATTTGGGTACTCGGGTGGAGTTGAGTACGGCATTTCACCCTCAGACAGACGGACAGTCCGAGCGCACTATTCAGATTCTTGAGGATATGCTCTTTGGTGTTTTGATGTTGTTTTGAGCGTTCCGAAGGTTGGAACAAGTTTGAATGATGTTATGGGATATGTTGGTAGGTTTGGTTGAGGTCCCGAGGGCCTCGGGTGTGTTTTGGATGCTTAACGAGTCATTTTTGGAACTTAGGAAATTGCAGAAAATGTTGCAGCAGTGAGTTCTAGTTTCCTTCTTCGCGTTCGCGAAGAGGAGCTGGGGCTGGTGAGGAATTTGTGCTTCGCGTTCGCAAAGTGTCTCCTACGTTCGCGAAGCTGGGAGTTCTATACCTACGCGTTCGCGATGGTTTTCCCGTGTTCGTGTAGGAAGAAGAAGTTGTGAATCGCGTTCGCATCCCGGGCATCGCGTTCGCGATGAAGAAATCTAGGCCCATGTGAAATTGTGCTTCGCGAACGCGAGGCAAGGAATACCTGGGCAGTATTTAAATAGCCATCTGCGACCCTTCTTTATTTTTCCACCATTTTTGAACGGGATTGAAGCTTTTGAGGGGTGATTTTTGAGGGAACCAAAAGGGAATCACTTAGATGTAACATTTTTGACTTCATAACTCGTTTATATGTGATTAAAGACCTAATTAGTGGTGAAAATTTTGGGAAAAATGGGTAATTAGGGCTTGAGATTAAGAGACCTTAAAATGGATATTTGAGGGTTCAATTGAGCTCTGATTTTAGTGTTCTTGTTATGTATAGACTCGTGAGAGTATGAGGATTCTAAAATTGTAAATTTCACCCGATTCTGAGATGTGGGCCTGAGGGGTGTTTTGGTCATTTTACCTAATTTCATGTATTAGCTTAGAACTTAATTGTAGAATCAGTTACTTGAAGTATTATTTACATTATGAAATTAAATTGAATAGATTTGGGCCATTTGGAGTCGAGTACTCGTGGCAAGAGCATGGTTTCGGATTGATTTGAGCTGGTTCGAGGTAAGTGACTTGCCTAACCTTGTGTGGGGGACCTTTCCTTTAGGATTTGATATCACTGTTAATTGAAAAGCCTTGTACGTGAGGTGACGAGTGTGTACTTGTGCTAATTGTTGAAAATCCAATTTTCATTAAGTAATTACTAGTATGTTTCTTTTTCCTGTTTATATTACCTGTATTTAAAGCATGTTGTTAGCTTAGGAAAGCATGTCTATGTGTTTTAATTGCCTTATTTGCTCAAACTGCTTTATCTGAATTCTGTGCAGCATGCTAGGCTAGGATTACTTATATGCCTTGATATGAAATTGATATTTCTGAATATTTTCCTGATGGTGCCGTGTAATTATATTTGGGACTACGGATGTGGGATTCCGGTAGATCCCCCTGCACAGTTATATGGAACTGTGGGACTACACCTGGTAGATTCTCCCAGTACTGGGTATTTATATTTGGGACTACAGAACGCGATTTCGGTAGATCCCCGCGCACTATGAGTTGGACTATGGGACGGGATCCCAGGAGATCCATTGGATATGTTTAATTGGGACTACAGGACGGTATCCTAGGAGATCCCCGATTGCTATTTTGGTGCTGAGCCTTATTTCTTTCTGTATTTACCTTGCCTCTGTAATAGTTGTTGTTGTCCTTTTATATCTTGTGTTACTTTTACTGATGTATTTATTTATACTGATTCGTTCTACACTGTTGAACTTTATATTTTATTTAACCTCAGTAGGGTCCTGACCTTCCTCGTCACTACCCGATCGAGGTTAGGCTTGGCACTTACTAAGTACCGATGTGGTGTACTCATGCCCTTTTCGCACATGTTTTTCATGTGCAGATCCAGGTATTTTGACTCAGTCCTATCACCCTTGAGGCGACTGTTCCAGAGACTTTGAGGTATATCTGCCGCGTCCGCAGACCGAGGAGTTCCTTTCTACTCTCCCTATTGTATTAGCTCTTCTGTATTTTCTTTTCCTTGTTAGATATTCTGGAGTTAGACACTGGTAGACAATCCAAGGCTTGTGGTTTCATGAGATTCCGGGTTTTGGGAAATGTTGTTAGTTTTCGAGAAGTTGTATTGTATATGCCGAGCGACATTTTAAATACTGTTTCATTTGGTTATTTTGGCTTTTAATTATTTCTTCTGCAAGTTTTTGTTATTTTCTGCATTTGTTAGGCTTACCTAGTCGTAGAGACTAGGTGCCATAACGATGGTTCACGGAAGGCGAACCGGGGTCGTGACACCGAGGCCTTTTTGCATCTGCGAAACATTAGCTGCTTCTGCGGCGTCATTTTGCGACACAAGTTCCGCTTCTGTAGACTTCACATAACATCCGACCCATTGCACCCGCGGAACACTCTTCCTCTTCTATGACATCGCAGGTGCGAGCTCCTATTTGCTTGTGCACCTTCTCTCGTTTCTGCGCTCCAAACAATCGCTCATGCTCTTCCGCATGTCCGCTCAAAAACGCCGCTTCTCCGATCCTTCCTCACCTAGCCTTTTCCTGCTTCTGTGATGAATAGCCCGCATCTATGAAGTCGCCTCTCCGACCAAGATTTTGTAGATGCGGCTACAGCATCACCAAAAATTCCTTGAGCGTTGCAATCATGAGACAAAATGATCTGAACCACGTCTATAACTCACCCGAGCCACTCGAAACCCCGTCCGAATATACTAACAAGTTCCATAATATAACACATACATACTCGAGGCTTCAAATCATGTATAACAACATCAAAATGATTAATCGCACCTCAAATCAAGCTTAATGAGCTTTTAAACTTTTAACTTCCAAAACTCGTGTCGAACCATAACAAATCAACTCGGAATGAACTCAAATTTTGCGGCCAAGTCCCAAATGACTTAACGAAGCTATTGAAATTCTCGGAACCACAATCCGAATCCGATATCATCAAAGTCAACTCCCTGTCAAACCTATGAACATTGAAAACCTTCAAATTGCCAATTTTCGCTAAATAGTGCCGAAACCTTCTAGTAATATCCAAATGCAAATTTGGGCATACTCCGGAGTCCAAAATCACTATTCGGACCTAAAGAAATCATCGAAACTCCAACCGAGGTCAGATACACAAAAGTCAAACTCGGTCAACACTTTCCTAGTTGAGAATCATTCTTCCAAATAAATTTCGAATAACCTAAATACCAAAATCGACGATTCACACAATTCATAATACATCATTTGAAGCTACTCAGCACTTCAAATGGATGAACGAAATGCAAATGCTCAAAACAACCGGTCGGGTCGTTACATTAACCCTCCTAAGTGTTTTAATACACTACATTTAACTTTCAAATGCACACTTTTCATGACCAACTCGAGCCATGCCATGAAACCTTACACAATTTAACCCTTCTCTTTAAACACATCTATATATTTACTAACCCGGATCAACATGGATAAGAGATATATTTTCTATTTTTATTTTTTCTTCTTTTGTATTTTTTTGGCTTTTTTTTAACACTCTCCATAAATTTAAGTGTGTCCGACTAATGATATTTCAAAACATATGTGCACACTTTGGCCTTTCTATGGTTCCACTCAAAAGTTACCCCAACTATTACCTTATTATTCAGCGACTTAAGTGCTTTTGGAGGCAAAGGTTCAGCTAAGAACAAAATGGGATTCGGCTTGTAATATGGGTGCCAAAGGGTTTATAGGCTCAACTAGGCTATCTAAGGATATTTTATTTGTGGTGGCATAATAGCTCAATGAATGATCAAATAAATTCCTACATCATCTCCTAAACTTACAAGACTTAATGATTTTGCTTCGACTAACACACGGGGTAAGTTCTAGACTAACACAGGATAACACAACATATAATCAAGACCTCACATCACATAATACACATGATCCATTTAGGACGATTCCATTCCAATTCTCAAGTCAAAGCAAGTAATCACATAGTCAAGAAATATTAAGCAATAAAGCACTATATGAACAACGAGTCAAGAAACTGAGAGAAGGCATCAAAACAAGTTGTTCAATTTATCTATGGCATCAAGTTTTGTCAAAACATATTAGGGAGGTAATCTGCATGCTAAGGCCTATCTATGCTAGCATCAAACAAGTCAAAAGGCACATAGGAGCAATCAAGTTTTCTTCATTTTATTTCCTAAAAAAAATAAAAATACCTGATTCAAGATACATCCCTAGGAAAAGAATTGATGCCCAAAGAAAAATCAAGGAGGATTATTACCTACCTACGACTAGCTAAGAAGAAAGAAAATATTTTTTGAATTTTTTATTGGACCTTAATCTCTCAAGAAAGCTGTCCAAGAGATCCATCGTCGGAAAATGTCCAAATATTTTCTGATGTTTTTGAATTTTTGATTTTTTTCCTTTTTTTGATAAAAGCTACTAAAACTAGTTCTAAAATACTATACTACTAATTCTACTAACTAGGAAATAAAAATAAGAAGCTAAAAATTAAAGACAAGAAGTTAATGTTAATACAACTATACCACTATAATCTGACAGTCCCCCACCCCACACTTAAAAGGGTGCAGTGTCCCCAATGCACAACTAAAGCAAAAACATAACAATGGTGGACAAGTAACTCCATGAAAGGCCAAGGCCGAAGCAATAGCGGCTCACGAGTTACTCAGACTTCCCCACTCATGGTCCTTTATACGGGCACCCCACACTTAGTTCTCACCATCTAGCTCACTTTGGCACTTTTCCAATGGCTTTGGTTCCTATGCTCATAATCCTACAAAATAAAAATAAACACTACAAAAAAATTATAAAAAATAAAAATAAAAGAAAGTAGTAAATCTAGGTTGCCTACCAACAAGCGCCTGATTTAACGTCGCGGCACGATGCAGAATCTCGCCTAATCGTTGGCTAAGTAACTCCTTCGACTTCTGACGATCAAAGTCACCTCCATAATAGTGCTTTACTCTTTGTCCGTTAACTAAGAACGTTCTCTTGCCATCTATGAAGCGCATCTCAATTGCATCATGTCGAGTAACTCTAACTACCTCAAATGGGACCAAACATCTCAATTTGAGCTTCCCCGGAAAGAGTCTCAACCTCTAATTGAACAAGAGAACCAATTAGCCCGATTCGAACTCGCGATTGTGAATATGATTATCATGCCATCGCTTGGTCTTTTCTTTATACAACTTGGCATTCTCATACGCATGAAAGTGAAACTCATCAAGCTCGTTCAATTACAACAACCATTTTGCACCCGCTAATTCTACATCAAAGTTCAGCTTCTTTATCGCCCAATAGGCCTCGTGCTCAAGTTCCACCAGTAAATGGCATGCTTTTCCATAAACTAGCTTGTAAGGAGATACTTTGATTGGAGTTTTATAGGTGGTCCGATATGCCCATAGAGCATTATCAAGCTTTGTAGCCCAATATTTCCTACTTGCACTAACTGTCTTCTCCAGAATCTGTTTTATATCTCTATTTGACACCTTAACTTGTTCACGAGTCTGAGGATGGTATGCGGTCTCAACCTTATGTTTGACCCCGTATTTTGCTAAGAGATTAGCCAACATCTTGTTACATAAATGGGTGCCCCATCACTTATCATCACTCTCAGAGTGCCAAACCTTGTAAAGGTATGCTTTTTCACAAAGTTAACCACAATCTTGGTATCATTGGTGGGAAGAGAAATGGCCTCCACCCACTTTGACACGTAGTTAACGGCCACCAAAATATACTTTCACTCATTAGACAGGGGAAACGGACCCATGAAATTAATTCCCCATACATCGAAGATTTCAACCTCCATAATACCATGCAATGGCATCTCATGCCTTTTCGTTATCATTCCCGTTCTCTGGCATCTCTCACACTCCCTCACGAACTCATGGGCATCTTTAAACAACTTAGGCCAATAGAAACCCGATTGCAACACCTTGGATGCTATTTTGTCACCCGCATGGTGACCACCATACGATGATGCATAATAGTTATGTATCTCAGACTCGGGAGCATATCTTCTCATCAACTAGTCGACACATGATTTGAACAGAAATGCCTCATCCCACACATATGATCTCACATCCCGCAAGAACTTCTTTTTAGCATGAGGTTCAAGGTCAGGTGGAATTTCTCCACAAGCTAGATAGTTCACAATATTTGCATACCATGGCACCTCCCCAACAATAACGGCCAACAATTGCTCATCCAGGAAGGTTTCCTTAACGACATCTCCCTTAGCTACATTACTCCAAGTTTCTAACCTAGACAAGTGATCGGCCACTTGATTCTCTATTCCTTTACGGTCTCGGATCTCCAAGTCAAATTCCTGCAAGAGTAAAACCCAATGGATTAGACTTGATTTATAATCTTTCTTTTCAGACAAATACCTGATGGTTGCATGATCTGCGTAGACGATAACTTTGGTGCCAACCAAATAGGCCCGAAATTTATCGAGCGCCCACACTACAACAAGCAACTTCATTTCTATCACAGTATAATTTATTTGAGCAAGAGTGAGAGTCTTGATTGCGTAGTAAATGGAGTAAAATATTTTGCTCCTCCTCTGGCCCAATACGGCCCCAATTGCACCACCACTAGCATCACGCATCAGCTCGAATGGCTCGTTCAAGTCAGGAGCCACTATGATTGGTGCACTCACTCACTTATTTTTCAGCTCCTTGAATACCTTCAGAAAAGCATCGTCAAACTTGAGTGGCACATCCTTCTCTAACAACCTGCACAATGGAAAGGAAATTTTTTAGAAATCCTTTATAAATCGGCGATAAAAACCTGCATGTCCTAGAAAAATGCCTAACTCCTTTCACTAAAATTGGTGGTGAAAACTTTTCAATTGCTTCCACCTTAGCCTTGTCAACTTCTAGTCCATCTTTGGATACCTTGTGCCCTAGCACTATACCTTCGCATACCATAAAATGGCACTCTTCCCGATTCAATACCAGATTAGTCTCCTCGCACCTAGCAAGCACTTTAGCAAGATTGGTCAAGCATTCATCAAAAGAGGGACCAAACACAGAAAAATTATCCATAAAGACCTCCACAAATCGCTCCACCATATCGGTGAAAATAGCCGTCATACACCTTTGAAAAGTCGCATGTGCATTACATAACTCGAATGGCATTCTCTTAAATGTATAAGTGCTATAAGGGCATGTAAATGTGGTCCTTTATTAATCTTCCGGGGCAATAGTAATCTAATTATACCTTGAATAGCCATTAAAGAAACAATAGTATTCATATCCGACTAACCTGTCAAGCATTTAATCAATGAAGGAGAGAGAGAAGTGATATTTTCGTATAGCATTATTCAAATTCCTATAATCTATGCATATTCGCCAACCAGTCACAGTCCTGGTTGGGATTAATTCATTTTGTTCATTCGCTATAACAATCATACCCCCTTTTAGGTACACATTGGACAGGGCTTACCCACTTACTACCGGAGATAAGAAATATTATACCTGCGTTGAGCCACTTAATCGCTTCTTGTCTTACCACCTCTTTCATGATTGGATTTGGGCGGTGTTGATGTTCCATGCTAGACTTATGTCCCTCCTCTATGAGTATTTGTGCATGCAGAATGCATGACCAATACCCTTTATATCAGACATTGTCCAACCAATGGCATGCTTGTGCTCTCTCAACACCCTCAACAACTTTTCTTCCTGAAAGTTAGACAAATGAGAGGAAACAATCACAGGTAAAGTGTTAGAATTTCCGAGATATGCATAATGAAGATGCGATGGTAAGGGTTTAAGTTCCAATTTTGGGGACTCCTTAACTAAGGTTTAGAGGGCGGGCTGATTGTCCTATTTAGGGGCTCAAATGGGATTAATCCCTGCATGTATAGACATGATGCCTCTAGTATATGCATCATATCCTCATCCTCATCATCAATCTCCAAGCTATTGAACAATATGAGTGCTTTCTCTAGAGAAAGACGATATATGCTCGGATCTATAAGCTGCTCATCCACCTCCACAACAGATATCATAGAGAGCTCCTCATAATGGCGTGGAAGTTGAATCGCCTTGTAGACATTGAAAATTGCTTCCTCATTGTCCACTCTCATAATTATTTTTCCCTCTCTTACTTTAATAATTGCATCACCTGTAGCCAAGAGAGGTCATCCCAATATAATTGGAACTTGTTCATTAGACTCATAATCTAGGATAATAAAGTCTGCTGGGAAGATGAATTTCCCACTTTGCAGCAACACATCTTCAATCACTTCTTCAGGGTAAGCAATGGAACTATCGGCTAATTATAATATCACAGTAGTTGGTCTTGGAGCTCCCAAACCCGGTTGCTTGAACAAGGACAAGGGCATCAGATTTATGCTCGTCCCAAATTAGAAAGAGTATGACCTGCATCAACATTACCAATCCGCACAAGGATGGTGAAGATGCCAGGATCCTTAAGCTTTTGAGGAAGCTTATTTTAGACCCTTAAGTTTCACTCCTTAGTAAGTGCGACTGACTTGAATTCAGTCAATCTCCTCTTGTGAGACACTATATATTTGATGTACTTAGCATATTTTGGAATTTCACAAATTACACCAACCAATGGAATATTTAATTGAATCTGGCTCAACATAGAGAAAAATTTGTAAAACATGCAATCATCATTCTTCTTCTACAACCTTTGGGGGAAAGGAGGTGGTGGCCTTGCGTCACCCACTGGCTCTGAACTTGTATCATCTTTCTTTGACTCATGTGTTGCTTTAGGAATCAACTCCCTCTCAGGTACATGCATATCTTTTCTCTTCTTTGACACTTCTTCTAATTCCCTTCCGTTTTTGAGTGCGACTGCATTAACTTGAGAATTATACTCTGCATCACTTGGAAGAACACCTGCAGGCCTAGTATTTTGATTTGCCACCAATTGCCCAACTTCTATCTCAAGATTTCTAGAATCGGTCTTGAATTGCTGATTGTCAAGCAACAACTTTTTCAACAGGTCATTTGTATTCTCCTCTATTTGTTGGGGTGGCTTCTGAGGTTGACCGTAATTTCCTTGGGTCTATACTAATTCTGAGTCGTATGATTTCCACCCCAGTAGAAGTTAGGGTGATTCTTCCAATTTGGGTTTTATGTGTTCCCATATTGTGCCTACTGATTTATCGGACCTCTACTTTGTTACCCCATATATTAGATGGATTTAGGATTTGCGGGACATATGTCACTCGTATGACCTTCACCTCATAACTTGCAGCAAGTAGACATTTGTTGCATATGTTGCGCTTGATGCATAGTCTTTTTATTCATTTGATTTGCTAACCTTGCTATATCTGTCCTCATGGATGAGAAATCATCGAGCTCAATTACATCTGTTGCCTTTTGTTTAAGTGGTCTTCGTAGTTCCCCATCTCATTGCCAATTATTATCATTAGCAATAAAATTGTTTAGCAGGATTTAGATTTCACTATACGGTCTTGCCATGCAACTAACCCAACCCCACATGCTGAGTCAAGATTCATCTTTGATATCTCGTCAAACCCATCAACAAAAGTGTGGCCCAACACCTTATTAATCTGGCAATGACGTAGGTAGTCTCTGAGAAGCTTCTTGTATCTTTACCAAGCTTGATGAAGAGTTTTACCATCTCGTTGTTGAAACCTAAGAATCTGGCTCATCGGTGATTTTGTCTTCTTAGTGGGAAAAAACTTGATTAAGAATTTTTGTTCTAGATCATCCCAAGTGTGGATCGAGTTTCTAGGCTCCTTCTGCAACCATTCTTTGGCTTTCCCCAGCAGTAAAAAGGAAAATAGTGTCAGCCTGATGTTGTCCTTGGAAACATTTGGATTATTATAAGTATCCGTAATTTCCAGAAAGTTATGCATATGCCGCTACGGATCCTTATGAGATAGACCCACATACTGCCTTATAGACTGAATACGTTGTACCATATACTGTTTGAGCTCAAAGTGACCCATCATATCAGGCTTCACTATAGCTTGAGTCATATTAGCAAGATTAGTGACCCGTCATATTAGGCTTCACTATAGCCTAAGTCATATTAGCAAGATTAGGCAATGCGACCTCTATCACTGGTCGCTCTTCATTACCTGTCATCTCTAGTGGTTGAGGTTGAACTACGATGTCCAACTTTCCTTCTATTCTAGTTCTAGCTTCGACTTACCTTATTAACCTGCGAAGTGTTTGTTCTATTTCGGGATCGAGAGGTAGGAGGTTGTTCACGCTTCTACTCCTCCGGATTCAAGAGAAGAGCATGCATTAACATAAATAAAGCAAACTAAAAATTAAAACATAAAAAAATAATGAATAAAAGCTTAACTTAGATAAACAATCAATAACTAAGTCCTCGAAAACGGCGCCAAAATCTTGTTGGTTTCCCAAGTACACGCAAGTATACGTGGACGTCAAGTAATAAAGTGACTTAAAAGTCAAAAGTCGAACCCACAAAGACTTAGATTAACTGTTAACTAAGCTAACTAAAATTAATTAATTATCCAAGATAATTAAAAATGTTATTTTTCTACTAAACTACTTTTGCAGAAATTGAACAAGCAATTAGTTAATTTATCAAGGAT